CCAGTCACCTGACGCTTTAACCCTCAAAACTTCCAGATGGTCTTTGCTTATTCTAGGCTCGTGAACAGACAAATCCGGCATCCTATTTATGGAGTTAAGGCTCGTCTTGGAGGGCATCTGGACAACTTCTCATTGGACCAATGAACGTCATCCAGCCAAAACTGATGCTCCACAGCGCGGGTGTCACATTACTGCAGCCTCTTCGAGCGAATTCCCTCTTCTCGCGGACACTACCAGATACCGCAGATTTGTCCGGACGTCTAGCCTCAAACGTGCACAATCATGCATAGGAATAGTGTGTCGGCTCGGATAGCTGGCGCCTATCCATCCATCCTTCCATTCTCACCATCCATCTACTCAATGCGTCATTTTGTCCGCTACTCTGTCATTGAGATGCCCGCGTTGCTGGGGGACGACCTGTTTAACCAGAAAGCTTCTGAGACCTACGATAGCTTGATTTTCACGGTTTAACCTCATCGTCAGTTCTTCACTCCTAAGCAATGATCAAGAGGTTTATAAAGAAATTAATGAGAAATTAAAAATAAAGCTCTACAATTGTACCGAGATTGTATAATATCTGATATATGAGCATCAAATGCGAACGTGGGTCAAAGTTGAACATATATTTTATATTGACACAAGATACGATTGAAAAAAATACTTAATTCGCGTATATACTAGTTATATAAAGCATTATTTATTTGAAGACAAAACACACATTATCAATAAAATAAATCTAAATGACGCTAAGAATGATATAAAGATATTAGACTCAAACGAGTAATTTGTTTCACGTAATTATTACATACAAATCTAAAGAGGAGACTGCTCTCATGCAGTTGCTGAGCTGGCTACTAATGGTCAAAGGCGCAGGATTCATATGCTATTGTTTGTCCTGATGACGAGACTTGAAGGAGGGCGCTATCGCCTGTATAGCAGTCATAAGATAATCTGGTAACACGAATCGAAAAGCCCAGCATGAGTATAAAAAATATGACCACCAAGTCTGAAAATAGAGAAAGACTGTACATGGCCAGGCGGGTGAGTGTCTGAAACTCAAATTGGCTTTTTGTACTGAGTTTACCTCAAACAGGCGTTTAGGATTTGATTGACCGACAAGATTGTGGGAAAGGGTCGGACAGCAAAATTAGTTGTCCAGTTGTCAGGCGCCCTCGGCATCAAATGAATCACTACACTGGATTACTCAGCAACGAGCCTCGACAACATTTAGGTAAATCTTGTACCCCCGTCTTGACCACTATTGCATGCAACTGTGTTAGCGATAGATTTTGTATAACTGTGAACCATTAAATCGTTTCGTGGCAGCCTTGAGTCGAAGTCTCACACCGGCTAACAATCGCACCAGACAGAATACCAAACATGCTTGAAACTCGCAAGAATGAGAGTTTCAGCTCGACCCTCTTGTATGGTTTTATGCATGAGGCTTTTTAGTGGATTTGTACGCACAAGCGCAAGTGTGAATGCGTGCTTGCCTACATCTGTATGCTCATCCGTTTGTATGTATGCTACTGTGCGAGACCTCAAAACACAAAATTGAAGCTAGAGGATTGTGAATAGTATCGAGACGAATTATTGTCTGATTGACTCATTTTAAGCCGTCTACCTCATAACCACACAGTGTTAGAGTATTAGGCTTAAGTGCAATTCAAAAATGGCATCCAAGCCTATGTCTTATAGCATCCGCTCCCTGTTTACCGAAGAGACCAGCGTTATTCACCATCATTAAATGATGAC